AGAAAATTGCGGCGTGCACGAAACCGAAGACGAGGTGACAGGAGTTGTTGTCCGCGTTCAGAAGACCTGTACTGAGACTAAGTACAGGAACAGAGAGTCAGTCACCAGCTACTGTTCTGGGTCCCCCAGCAACACCAAAAGCAGCTACACAACCTAACCAAGGGCTCTATCTCCCTGGACTAAAACACAGACAATTGCTCCCCCCTACCTCTCACCATCCTCACAATACCTTCCCCCCAATATATCCTACTACGGGGATGGGGCCGTCGGTTGGAGATGTGTTTGGCTTCATGTTGGGAGGGTTAGGAAACCGGTCCACCAGGAGTACTAATTCGGCCCTTTGGGGGGTTTGCGGTGGGGTCAGCTAGATATATGTACATCTACTGCATCCTTGGCCACTGCCGGATACCTCACCGCCATTCCTTTCTACTCTCCAATATTTGTCCGGTGGCACATTGCCCCTCGTAGCGTCTCATGCCCCTCGCAGCGTCTCATACCCCGGGCAGTGGGCAATCTCGGTCCTTGTCTTTTTTTTCTGATGATGGCTTCAAGTCTTTGAGTGTCCACACGTATGATACCGAAGATCAGACCAAGGATTTAAGAAAGAAAAAACATCAGAAAAAAGGGAAAGAAATCCAGCGGTGCGTGTTTGCGTGGGCGCCCCTCTCGAATCCTTGCTCGGTGAACCCGTCAGAGGCCAGCGGCGGCACTCCGGACCCTCCATACCACACGCCCGCCGAAAGACGCCCGAGGCTAGAGCTAATTATCTTCATCACCAACTATCACGCGGTCCCTTTAGGGTCCAAGATGTTGAGAAATGGTCCTCTGAGTGAGGTACGTGAGATTCTCGTGTTACTTCCTACTCACTATTGTGTATATGGAAATGTGCGTAGAGGCGTGGTAATCCACATCTTGGCTTGCGTCATCAGCATACTGTATATATATATACCGTTCCTGTTTCCCTTAGCTAGAGAGCGAACCGAATCAACGATCTTCCGCTGCACCTCAAACGGTTCCTATTTTCAACACAAGATGTTGGTCTCCAAGGGATAAAACACCAATCAAATATTGTAGGGTGTCGAGCCATTATATTTAAGCGAATATCCCCAAACCCGGCTTTCCGCGAGGGACAGAGAATCAAAGGTTAGGAAATTAACATATTTGAAGCGCAACATCTAATTGTACAGTACCACGCACCCAGCGAGAGCTGGTGAGGGATAAGACGGAACCCGAGCCAGGCAACTCCCCTTGGAACCTATAACACGACAGGTGAAAACTAGAACAATTGCGCCCCGTGCTACTAGGACACCGAAGTCTCCTTGGCCGGTTCCAGCTCTGACACTTTGCAACGTTCTTTCTTTCTTTTTTCCCGTTCTCTTTCCTCGTCACAGGCTGAGGGTGAGGCAGTGAGTTTTCACAGTGTTTACACCCCCCCCCCCCGTACAACAGAGGGGGCTCCGCACGTCCTGGCAGGTACTGCACCCTGAGTGAAAACAACATCCCAAAATCACCTCGTAACTCCAAACGTATTGACGTGGGGAAAAAATGTGAACAAAAATAACAAAAAACCCACTCTTATCCACCCTGAATCCGCTACAATCAATATTTTGCCGCATACCCCGGTTGAGTAACGATTACTCCAAAACAGCAATTTCTGATCGACTTTTGGCTTCCCTCGTGGTCCAGCCCAAAACTGCCAACGTCCAAGTTCCAGGGAACCCCCGCGACGGCCGCAAAGAGAGTCACGGTAGTCACGGAGGCGTTGAGGGTTGAAGTTGCGGCGTTCGGGATCGAGGTTTGCTGCGTCATGTTGGGGCGTTTCAGGACGGCGTTTTTGGACCCTGGGCCTCGGGCTGTGGCTCGGGAGCGGATCGGCGAGTATGAAGGCTCGCTGGGCGGGATTAGGAAAGGGTTCACCGCTTTCCACAGGTGTTAACGTACCCGATGGCATAGCGAAAAATATGGTACAACGAAAAATTGTTGAAAAAGAGCGGAAACTGGCTACTGAATAGGCGGAGAAG